TTAATTTGTGTTCTGAAGATGAATGGAGGTCTTACGGGTTTAGAATGACATGAGGATGACAGAATTTTCATTTTTGGGTGAACTATCCCTTTAATAGCTGAGCTGAATATAACCATAATTTGACACTGGTGACCTTGAAGTCAACATGAAATGGCAACCACAACCCATTTTACTTCTGTAATGTGATCATTTCCGTAATGTGTTTAGTTTCATAATGTGACATTTTCAAGCCCAACTGAATATTCAATTAGATAAAAATGTAAACAGAACTTAAATTTTATATATTAGAAATTTATTAGATCACAAAAAATTAAAAGTCAAATTTAAGAGCATCATATTATATATGTATATTAGGGATGCACCGATGTATTATCGATGCACTTTTTGATTATATTTTAAAGCCATCAACATATCGGAAATAGCATGAAAAGGGCAGATACCGATGGTTTATTAATTAACNATGGAGACAACGAGTTGCATGCCCGTTGCATAATCCAACATTTTTTCCAAAATAATTAAATACTTACCAAAAAAAAAAAATCTGTATAAAATATAGTTTGTCAGACAGCATAGTACGGCCTATGCAAACGTGACGCTGATGCATCCAACGAGTGAAATGCCCATGCTCAGCTGTAAATTCATCATAGGTAAGTCACATGGCAATGCCCCGGCGTTAGAGTTTATCCGAGGATATGTCACGAACCGCCAAGCATTAGGCCTACATTTAAGTGTAAATGAATGGCCTAACATGCAGCTTTTTGTTTGAAACCGGTGTAGAACACGGATTCACACAAGGTCACATCAAGCACCTGCAGCGTTTCTGTGAACGGAGAAAACAGAATAAAACTATATAGGCTACATAAAAAGGAATATAGGCCTATACACAAAATATATTTAACTTAAATCATTAACAGATTAACAAAACAAAAGAAAAAAAAATTGTGCTGAGCTTCGGATAATTGTAATGCGTTTAGAAGTTCTCTGGGAAAAAAAACGAGATGGCGGAAAGCCGTTTTCTTTATTTTGCAAAAGCTTTACAGTTTTGAATGATGTTTTTCTTCTATCTGTACGACCAACCAGCGTTGGTATGACCATAAATGACCCGTAACAGTAGTGAAAACAATGCAGTGATCGCGTCGGTTCCTCACACGCACATACAACAAATTTTGCTAATTTGACATCGCCGCCTGTTCATAAAAATTTAAGGTCATTGCAAACTGAGTCCGAAATTTTCGTATGCATTTTTTCATATATGTTATCCTAAAAATGCGTCACGCACAGTGACGCAGTCAGGAATGCTGAATCCCTGACAATTTTCAAATGACAGCTGAAAACTCAGCTCTTTCAACGCTACTTGACTTCATCTTAAATAAAAAAATAAAAAACTTTGCCTTTCTCTTTATTTATTCCTTCCCTTTCTAGCTTGTACTTATTTGAACAATGCCTGAAACTTGGTATGACAAGCACTTCCTGTGTCTGTTTGCCTCTTTAAGAAGAATCGCTTTATGTATTCTCCAATTGTAAGTCGCTTTGGATAAAAGCGTCTGCAAAATGACTAAATGTAAACCTTGCACACTGAGTTCGATGCGTATTAATTAATCCGTTGCGAAAAAATCGCAAATCAGTACTAAATGGAGTCTTCAAGCAGTGAGCATGATTTTGTTATCTTCTTGCTTCTTAAAAAGAGAAAAAGAAAAGTAATATTGGGTCCATCCAATCCTGAGATATAGAGAGGAAGGTGAGTTCCCCCTAGGAGCAGCGGGATTATCACGGGTGATTCAAAGTTTACTTCAGGATGTCAGTGGCTCAGTTTGATATTTTGCTAGCGATACTAGAACCACATATTAAAAAGAAGACCACCAATTTCTGTGAACTCAGTGTGCAAGGATCTTTATGGTGCTTTGTGCTGCGAGACGAAGGGGAATGAACTTGACAACTGCCATTCTGGATTTTAGCGTTCGCTTGTACGGTGGCTCTGAATTGTCAAAACACCTCTCAAAATGCTTGCTACGGAATGCGAAAAACGAACCCGATCCGAATTTTTTTATGACGGACGAAAGTTTCGGAGGCAGTGGCATATATATGTGTGTGTGTGTGTGTGTGTGTATTAAGGAATAAATATGGTCAGCTTTAATTGGACGTTGGTTTTTGTTTTCAGTATAATGTGAATAATTATGCTACTACTTTCAATAGCATGTTAAAGTATATGCACAAGTCAAAACTAAGGGATTTTAAGGTTGCAAGGACTTCATGGACATCATTTCCTGATACATATTTCACTTATCCAAAAGGAAAATGTCACATAAAATTAAAAAATATTATAATAAATTAGAATATTGTGCAATAGCATCTATCTTTTTCACCTTGTTTCCCAGATTGATGGCAGTTTCACGGGCGAGCAGAAGCGTGATCATGTCAACATTGCCCTCCTGGGCTGCCAGGTGGAGAGGACTGATGCCCTGGCGTGTCGTGGCATTGGTATCAGCTCCATATTCGAGCAGTGTGGTTGCTATCTCCATCTGGTTCTTCTTGGCAGCTATGTGCAGTGGAGTATAGCCATTCTGGGAGGGAAAGCAAATGAAGGAGATCATAATAAATGAATATCTATGGCTATCCAAATATCAGTGATAACATGTGGAAGCTTGTCCTGGATCACTATGCACTGTATAAATAGTATAGAGGATTGGAAGATATACATTCAATATTGACAAAGGACTGAAACATATCAAAATGTATACATACAATTTATGTAGGACATATGTCCAGTCCTACACAGCACTAGCTTGCATGCTGCCAAACCACTATAACCACACTAAAGCCTTTACGACATTTCCAAAAGAGAAACATGTTGAGCAGCGCTTTGCTTCTAACCTCACACAGACTGAGAGTAGAGCGATGGCTGAAAGGTGGAGAAAAGCAGTCGGAGTGAAGAAAACTATCTTGTTAACAGCTATAGCGAATGCTAAGGTGTCAGCCAGTGAGGTCCATGGACGGTGGTCCCATCCAAACCACAAATTAGTTTTTGTTCTGCACATGCCAGATCTAACTGTTCTTTGTGGAGGAACAAAGGCAGTATCTGGGTCACTGTACTTTGTTTAGGGTTTACATTGATCTCTTTCAGGGTGGACAAAACAACACAAACAGTTTAAAAGCATGAACACGTGGACTCTCTATTCAAGTTCATACAAAAAACTGGGGGAAAACATGACAGATACAATTAAACACAGGCTTGTGAATTAAGACTATGAGAGAACTGTAAACTTCCAGACCTCTATGCTCTGTTCCAAAACATAGTGAGTGCCCTCGGTAGATGACAATCATAAAAAATGATTATGCTGCCTCTAAAGAAACTTCTTTTGGCCAAATTCTGAGAAAAATGTATCACATACACAGTATAATTCACAGGATAGTCCATTTCAGAATGCACTGCACAAGCTCACTAAGTGACCAAGACTGACTAAGTGAGAGAGACATACTGGATAATTAGTTCAATATTGACAAATACTAATAAAAAGAATTTACACAGCATTTCTTGGGTCTCTTACCACTGTAACGTCATTAGCTTAGCCACATGCAAACATCAGTCCCTACTTTCTCTTGTACAGTGTCATATTTTTCAAAACACAAGTTATTGCCTATGTTGATGTTCAAATTTGGTTAGGATGCTTACTTAGAAGGCCTAGTTGCCTATGTAGGCAGTAAATAATGAGGCAGCTCTCTAGGCTTTATAACAGAGTCTACGTTACTTTTTTTATTACAGATGAATCCAGACCATGTTTTTCCATTGATGGTGTTTTCAATGCAAACAGCTGGAACTTGATAAAAAGCATTTATTCGTGTTTTTTTTTAGTTCGCAATTATTTCCTGCACAGATTACAGAACTGACTGGCAGATCAGAGAGAAATCATGACAAACCCCAGAAGCACGGGTGGGCGGAAACCGGACTGATAATTATTAAAGGCGTAATTCACCCAAAAAAGTTCTGTAATCGTTTATTCATTCCTCATGTCATTCCAAACCTGAATGCCTTTCTTTTTTCTGTGGTGCGCAAAAGGAGTTATTTTGAAAAATGCTCACGCTGCTCTTTTACATACAATGAAAACATTTAACGGCCAATGACTTTCAATCTCCAAAAAGAACAAAATGTTGTGTTCTGCTGTAGAAATAAAGTCAAGCAGGTTTAAACTGATTTGAAGGTAAGTATATAATGACAGAACTTAAGATTTTTGGGTGATCTATCCCTTTAAAAGTATATGTCACCCAAAAATAAAAATTTACTGAAAATTTACCATCCAAGATGTAAATGAGTTTGTTGCACACCACCAAGTACACAAGTTTTCAAGAACTTTCTTTTTCAAAGCAATAAAATGTGCATAAGCTTGCCATCCTCGGTGGTTACAGTGGGTGGACTAGAAGTGAAATGACGATAATGATCAAGAATGTGGGGTGGAGGTTTGTGTGAGCATGTGTGCAGCCGCTTGGCTTGCAGCCATGTTTCTTCATCATTTGTGTGTGTGTGTGGATGAAATGTGTGTGTACTAGTTGAGAAACTGCGGTTTGTAAGGGTTTCCTGATACCTTCGCTGCAGCGTGCGGAGACGATCCTTGGTCCAACAGAAGGAGGGCCACTTTCTGGTTATCGTAGTGTGCAGCAACATGCAGTGGTGTTAGTCCACTCTAAAAACACATACATACACACATAGATATACAGCTATTATTGGCCAAGAGCTCAAAGGTGGGGTGTGTGAAACAGGTGCCATCATAAATCAATCAGCTTTTACATTTGGACATTGCGGGAGAGTAAATTTAGCCAGAACACATTAGTGAATGAAACCTCTGGAAGTGGAAAATGATAGCATGTACCCTGATAGCATACAAATGGCTCTTTTCACCTGGAAGATGCCATTTTTAAAGCATTCACTAGCTGTCTGCAGTTAGAAAGACATTCAGCGGAATGTCTTAAAAGATGTTTATTAGTTAAAAGACACTGAATACATAACTTAAGAAATAAAATGTATAGATTTGCAGATGATTGCAGCAACATAATTTTATATAAAAAAATTTGTAGTCAGTGACTACATTTGTAATGATAATAGGAATGTGTATTTATAAGCAGTTCTACAAAATATTAACATTAAGCGCATGAGTTTGTTTATATGTATTAAAGACCCTATGAAATTAATGTTTTAAATGCATATAACTGCTTTTAATTTCTTGAGGTTTTAATGGTTCAGTCACACTTAATTTTGTGTTTCATTCACTTCCATTCATACACATGCAAATGCATGAGAGTTGTAATGAGAGTTTACTTTATGTGTGAACTATATGATAACCAACATTCATTATACTTCTGTCTGTATGTCAGACTGAAGATTAGCCAGCACAAGCATGTTGTTTCTTCTTTGTGT